CAAGGTCAAAGTTTTAGCACCAAGCATGACACACCAAAGCTTCCTTTTTTTTATTGATGTTATACGTACTAAAGCTTAAGCACCAAAGCATACATGCCAAGGTCAAAGTTTTAGCACCAAGCATGACACACCAAAACTTTCTTTTTTTTATTGATGTTATATGTCAAAGCATGAATCACTTTATTATACATCAGGCATATTTTGTCAAATTTAAATTATTAAAAAACTCAACATCAATAAATCCAAGAATATGTTACTCACTATGCCATGTTTTTTAGTATGTAGAATGATGATAAAGAGTTTTGTGAATATAAACTAATAACCCTAAAACTATATTATTACCTTTCATATTATGTTCTTTAATATGTAGATCAATGGCAATATAACAAAATAACGAATAATAGATAAAATTAACATTTGAGAAAACTGAATAACGAGAGCAAAATAGAAAGCACAGCAAAATGAAAACTCCAACACACGAATAGTGGGGGAGAAAAATTAAAATTATTTAATTTATTTGAAATAAATTTAAAAATATTTTTGTCATCTTATAATTGAAATTGAATAAAACAATTAATTTTATATGGAAGATTATTTCTAAAATGAGAGTTTATGAAGATAAACATTTTTTGTAATTTTCACTATTCGTAATATAAAAATAAATTTAAATAATATATTATATTCGATGTAATGAAATACAATATTACAATAACAAGGATCACCGCCCATTCTTAGAAAACACGCTCTATTTATTAACAAAACCAGCGGGCAATACAGAGGTTTGATTACATTGTTGAACAGCAAGGTAGCGCCGCATTACAACAGGAATCTCCCATTATCCATGTACAAGAGCATAACTATTTTGTACATCTATAAGAGAAGACAAGCCACACTGCAAAACGTTTCAACATTTGAAACCCCCACATGCAATAAGCCACAATATGATGATCAACACAAGAATAGCTCCTCCTACCATCAGTTTCATCTGGAGATTCTGCAGCCACATCTTCCGTCGCAGTTGTCGGCCTTGCCTCTGGAAGCTATCAGCCTATATCCAAAACAAGCATTCCCACAAGCACATACATATTATGAACTTACTTTAGAACCCCTTCCAGATTTCTTCAATCAATAAGAAAAAAGCACCAACCTGGAACTGTAAGTTCTCTGTTTTGTCCACTAGAAGTTCAATCTTCTCCCCACGATCCAAAACCTGCACAAAAAAGACAGAAAATTAATTATTGAATTTGTTGACAATCAAAAAACAGTATCTATTATTCGTTTTTCTTTTGATAGTGAAGAAACAATATCAAACAGTTTAAAGAAGGAACAATATTAACGGCAAGTTAGCATCTTCTACAAAATTCATAGCAAAAAATGTTCATAAAATCTGGCCTTTAATCATTGCCTTGGGAAATGGACTTTATGGTAGGAAGTTATCAATTCAGTGCTACAAAAGAAAACAGAAAACCAGTCGACAGTCCTCCATGAATATCTCCCAAGCATATATATTGTATTTCGTCAGTGGCAAGTGCATGCATGATCACATGAGTAAAACAGGTTTAAAAATTTTTGTTCGTGATACTTTAAGGCTCAATAGAAGTGACCATCCTTTGGCACTTTTCAGGTGAAACTATTGAAACGAAAAAGAAGAATAAACAAGGATTAATAAATCCCAAAAAATAAAGAAGATTAACCAGAAGCAAAAGAGAGAATCTTTGCTCTGACCCATTCTTAAGTATAGGCAGGGAATCTCCTGTCTGGTCGTCCAGCAAATCAAGAGGAAAAAATCCATATAGCATACCTTTAGCAACCACATTTTTCAGGCATTAGCCTACATTTTTCAGGCATTAGTTTCAGGAGATTAGTGAACCTTAACTCTAGCTGCTGTGCCACAGAAATACATTCATGTCAGATTTTAAATTGAAAATTTTGGAATGGAAAATTTAGGCCTTGTTAAATTTACCCATCAAACCTCATCCATGCGTAGGATTTTGTACTAACAGCAAAAAGTTCCAAAGCATGAAGAGGCGTGAGAAGACTTTCAACTAGAAGAGTTGGAGATTGATTTGGCTGGGGTTCGGTATGATGCCATGGCGTTTGAGCTGAGATCATAGTACACCTCACTAAACTAATGCACCACAAGGAGCTGGAAATGCTTCTAAGTCCTTACCACAACAATGCTCAACTAAGCTGCATCAACTAAGAGGTGTATCGTGCCTGGACTCATTAACTTTACTGTCAATTGTCAAGCTAAGCTTTGAATCAATAAATACTTGATAAAATTGATTAAGCCACTAACTACGCAGAAGTTGCTTAGAAGCGAATAACAGAAGTTCTTCCAAGCCAGGCTTGCCATATCTTTTGTCAAGTTGTTCAGTATAAATCTTTGGTTATGCCATACTAATTCTGCAAGTTGGAGAGTTTAAATCTAAGGATTATTATTCTATATACTGGTGGTGGAACTCAAAAACTCCACAAACAGGTTTATTCACTTGACCAGTGTCCTACCTACAAATAAGTAAGTCAACAGTCATAAACTTAGCTAACATATTTAGTTATATGGACATGTGTCATGTGAACAAATCTGCTTGTAGAGTTTTTAAATTCTATCCCAGCATTAAGATAATTATCCTAAGTTTAATGCAGCTCTGTCTAAATAAGGAAATCATCCTCTCCACTAACTGACATTATCCTTTCACTACGTGAAAAAGTTACTAGTTAAAGAGGGAAATCAAGGACATAAGTAAATTACTCCAGAGATGAAAGAGAGTTACAAGAAAACTTATTCATACTGATAAAAAGATTAACAATAATGCGGACACTTCATATGAAAGCCAATGCTAGAGCTTGATGACTAATGCATCTCATATGGTGGTCAAGCCTAAAATGCAGTGGCAATTCCTTTGGACACTAGTGATACCATTTTCATACATTTCCCATCCCTCCACTTCAGTCTTTAAAGGCATCTTTGATTTAAAGCCTCTTTGACCTGGCTAGAGCTTCTGTAATTCAAAAAGTACTATAAGAGAAGCTAAAATAGCATTAGGCAAACTTCAAATTAAAAGCCGTGTAAAATGAAAAAAACTATTTGATAGTAGATCTTTGTTAATTTTTTTTGGTGAGTAAATAAAATAAAAAATTTAACCATTATCAATTCAAATCATAAGTTTTAAAGTAAGAGTAGTAAATAAAATAAATAAAATCTTTTGTTAATGGAAAATAGAATAAAGCTGATTTTCATTGTCCAAAAGAAATCAGATAAAAACAAATAAAATCAAAAGCAAGGTTAAGTAGAATAAAGAAAGATGAATTGTAGACAATAATATGAGAATGTACAAAAATCTCATTCAATATTTGTTACTATGTAATAGTACTTTTTGAAGAAAACTTTTATTTATAACTTTGTCTAGAAGTTCAAATTAGCTACTGGCATAACCCAAAACTTAAAAAATTGGAGAGCCAAACACTTTGCTTCTGTTGTTTTAGTAGAATAACTCTTCCATAAGTTGGGCCATGCGCCCACTTATCCTTCATTGGCCATTTTTTTTTTAATTTTTTGAACCTGGAAATCTTAACAAACTGAAGTATGATTTTACAAAGTGAATACCAAATAACTGCAATAGAGAATTTTGAACTGGAAAAGGTAAGTTTACTTGGTGTACATACAAGACAAATAAGTATCACACTGCAGTTTGTAGGAAATAGCAAAGAAATAAGGTTCTGAAGCATCAGAGCAAAGAGAGATGCACTGCAAGTCCCAAATATCATGAATGCACCACAACCAGCTAGAAATATTCTTTCTTATCTCATTAATATCATCACTAAATCGAGGTGGCTGAATTTTGAAGGCTAAGATCTCTATACCAAGCAAATTTGATTATCAACTAGACCCCACTAAACTCAAAGACTTGTCACAACTTACCAGCTACACATTAAAACTGAACCACTAAATTTATGAATAAACTAAAGCTTATACCCCCCAAGTTACAATCTACCTGGCCAAAAGCATGAAGTAGCAGCTCCAATTCTTAGTTCAAGGGGATCAAGGCTATCGCCTAATATAAATATCAAGACCTTCTGAGTTGAATATCTTTGACATAAACCAGCTACAGAAAGTTTTAACTTTTTTTAGTTCACTACATTTGGGGCAACTTTTTCAAGGTATTTTAAATTTGAAGGGCAAAATCGGTCACCCTTTAATTTACACAAATACCTATTAAGACTGTTTCTAAAGCCTCAAAACCAAAAGCAGATAACGCAAGCTACAAGTAGCCATGCAGCAATCACAAAGAATAAACTCTGAATGGTAAAAGCAATAAGAACTAGCAATAGAAAGATTCCAATCCATCTCCACCCAACCCAGAATCTGCTTGCCCCAGCAAATCGAATTTGCCATGAGCTTAACTGCGAAGAGAAAATGTAGAAGCAGGAAAAGGCAGAGGCCTCTTTTAACTCCTAATCACAAAACACTACTCAATAGAAGAGTCTGAATGCAAATCCTCCATGAGCTGTCTTCACATAGCCACTGCTGAGGGTTTCTATCACTAGTAATACCAAGGATATCAGAAAGATCAAATCATTTATAAAGAACTATCACAAAACATACCATCCATCATGCCAAGAAAGAGATCCTGAAACCATTTTGCAGTCCAGACTATAAGACAATTTCTTGTACTCTAATCCCTTCGGAAAAGGTCCTAAACCCATACAGCAAAGACATAGAGATGCAAAGCTCCTTCCATGAATCCCCAGGGAGTTAGAATAATTCTTGTTATGCATTCATTCAAACCGTCAATTCTCTTTTCAAGGGGTAGGGGTCAGTGGGGGCTGCTAAATAGGACACAAACATCCAACATGAAGCTTTGTCTAGATTTTTAACTTGTCTTAGATTCTGCTAAAAGGTGCCCAAAAAGAGGATACAGACACATGGATACTTTGTAAAATTGTAGAGGATGATACTAGAAAAAAGCAAGATGAACTGAAAAAATTGGGACAAATTCATTTGACACAAATCCTTTTTGAAGTATTAATGGTGTCCTAGTATAAAAAAGCTAACACTAAGTGGCTTCTGATTTGGTTGTTATATATATAAAAGCCTCACTATAACTCGGGCTACACAAAAGAAGGTTGCCCTAACCCATTCCATAAACCCCAATGCCCCCATCCCCAAGATTCAAACCTAAGACGTCCAAGTTAGAGCCTCAAGTTCTAACCATTGGAGTGTCCCTATTTGAGACTAATTGGACCTAAGCTGACTCAAAAGCAATATATTTAGAACAATCATTCTTTTTTGTTTTTAACATGGCCAGATGCCAAGATAATAATGTTATACGTGCATGAATATGTAGCGTGGCTAGATGCTGGAAAAGAAACCCAAACAGTTAGTCGAAAAGCAAAACCCCAAAAATTTGACCGAAGAAAGCCACATGGTGGGCCTACTGCAGGATGTCTAGTATCCCCTTCTCCTTCTCTTAATCTCTTACCCTTTACCTCCCTTCTATGTACCTTCCTCCATGCCCTCAATTAATTTGGTCATTTTTACCTCATATGTATCCCCTTCATCCTCATAATTTGCTCTCTTTGATCCCCTCACAATTTGTCCTTCCCTCTCTCTTTTGCAGTGGCATCTAAGTGCAATTTCATTTTTGATTTGTGGATTTTGTGTGATAGTCCATAGAAATGGTTTAATAGCAATTTTATATTTGAATCTTCCCTTGAGAAGGAGTCACATCCATATCTTCAGCATCAAATCAGACAGCTATTCCATACCAATACCAATGCCATCATATCAGGTAGGTCTAAAACCAGTTATAAACTGCAAGCAAAAAAAAACAATAAACTTCCGTCCAGGAGTTGTTGCACCAGCAATATTACCGTTTTCCTCCAATCCCTCCAACATAAGACCTTTAATTTGGGCACAAACTTCTTCTTCGGAGAGGGAGGGGGGGGGGGCAATTTCTTCTTTCAATTTGCTCCCTACCATTAGTGCCCTTTAAATTATCATGATAATCCACATGAAATATATAACTTCATTGTTAATTTTCTACACACAAATATAAATACTACTACATAGACTAAAAGAAAAATAAAATGGGTATGAACAATACGTTTCGATAAAGATAAATAATGCTAAGAAAGATGGGGTGCCCTTCACAATGCATAACAATAGCTATCACTTTCAGAGCATAAAAAGTCTCCGCATTGATCTAATTAGTTAGAAACTGCAAAGTGCTGAAGAAGAATTCCAACAAATCAAACTTCCAGTTGAAAAGCCCAATGTTGGCTGGTTTGAGACATACAGTGCTCTGGTTTCACTTTTTCATTAGTGAAAGGGTCAAATATATGTCTAAATACCAACTTTTGAGACATAAAATGTCCAGAAATAGATAATAAAAATTTCAACACTCATAGAAAGAATACAGCTGACATGACAGCTGAGAAAACAAAAGTCAATTCCTAATCCGTTCTTCTCCAAAACTTGATAGTTAGCATGTTCGACTAGAGTATTACTTTTCTACAGCCCCATCAACCCTCTTTCTGTAAAAAATTCTAAAATGAAGAAAACAAATCAAGACGAACACAATATTACAAGTTGGAGAGTTATCAGAAAGGGCAAGCATACCATAGAGACATATAAACTAGCCATTGGAAAAGAAAATTGTTATAAAATACTTATTCTCTACTTTCTAAGTTACACATCCATTTTTTTCCACAACTATTCCACTTTCCAAGAAAAGATATGCATACCTTCTCAATGTTATCCATCATAATCCCCTTGACCTCAGTTATTTGAGCTTTTAATTTTGAGAGCTTACTGATTTCTTCTGGATGGTCCATACAATATTGCATGTGCTCCTTAAGCCTTGGTCTGTTATACAAAGCATTGAATTACAGGCTAGTATTCATTCTACTAGAACTACTAAAAGAATACACTATCTTGTATATAAGACAGCATAGGTAATCAGACAAAATAACAACATAACCTTGCCAAGTATATACGTACCCGAATTCTCTATCAAGATTATACGCAATGCTAAATCGATCTTCAAATAAGTCATCGTCCTCCTCATCATCAGCTAGAGGGTGCAGACACTCGTTTTTAATGCTTGCACCATATCGCTGTTTAAAATCATCTTGCACTCGTTCTAGAAAAACAAAAGGCACACTCCTTCCAACTGATTCATCTGCCACAACCAGAAAAACTGCACATGGAAACAAACATTGTCAACCACATAGTCTGACATCAGAAATTTGACTGACACAGTTTTGTTAAGGCATGAGCCTAGGCACAGTGCCAGACAACAAAAGCACCTCTGACCCTTTGAGGCAAGGCGCATTTGGTCAGGTGCACCAGGCACACTGTTTTCGTAAAGTGGTAGCTGCAAAAAAAGCCTGCCTGATTGAAGTTCTCTTTCATTTCTTTTCTTTTTACTTTTTTTCATTAGCTGAAACTTTAATAGTAAAAAAAGGGACAATATCAAACTCTTTACTTCTCAATGGTTGAGTAGTCAACAACAAACTTAAGACCATAAGGAAATCATACATATTGACCAAAACAAGGAAAAGGAAATTTTGTATGTTTTGTAGGATAAAAATGAACCACCTTTAGAGATTATAATCAAACTTTATATCTTAAGCTTATTTTATACATATATACACACAAAAACACACACATATATGCATTGTGCCAGATTTCATTCAGGCAAGTGCTGTTTCTATGGCCCGAACCTTAGGCAATATAACAGTTCTAGAGCCTAGAGTGCACCGTGCACCCTTGACATCAATGGACTGACATTAAGAAATTGTAAGAAATAGTACCAAATCCATTGTCAATGAGAAAGTTAAATGTGTGCCCATCACATGAATATGTGAACTTGCTGCTATTTGAAGGCAGCTTCTGTAAACATTGAACAGCAATGGTACTAAAGTTCCCAGAATATGACGTGTGCTCTGCTAGAACAACAGTTCCTTTAGCAACAAAGCTATAAATCAAGCCTTTTTGATTCATTTCTCAGCTGGATCTTCTGACGTCTCGAGATCCACAAAAGAAGTTGACAAGATCTGCATATTGACATTAACTTAGAAAAGATCATATAAAAATTAAATAAAAGACCTTTGTTCTTTCCTTAACAAAGAAAGCAATGCCAAAACAGAAAAAGGTAGACAGTTTAGGCGAAGCTCAAAATGAATTTAGGAAAGACAATTGCAACTGAAGCTTAATGAAACCACCGAGCTTCTCAGCGATAAGGAAAATACATGACTGAACAAAAAGACAAGTTAAATTTAGCTAAATTTTGATACTATCAATTCATGCAAAACATGGATGGTAAGTGAAGCAAGGAATATATCCCTATACTCACCAAATTCAATTCCCAAAAAGGAAATTAAACAAAACAAAACAATTATTCAGCAGATCTTATTCAACAAAAGTAAGAAGTTCATCTGAAGCAAATAACTGCTCTCCTCCCAGAAGCAAACCCTAATGCTTTATTGAATTCACAGTAAAATTCCAAAGAGAAAAACGAAGAAGCACAGCTGTATTGACTTTCTGGATGTGGGTTTTTGATTTTACCATGAAATCTTCCACTCCCCCCTATATTGTAGCTAGCAACCAAACCAAAGAGGTTAAGGACTCAAATTGGAAACATTTGGTCGATCTAACGAAAAATGGTGCAATTTTAAAAGAATATGAGATCGAGATTTACCAATGAAATCAAGGAGCGAAGAATCTTAACCAAAAAGAGAAAACCAGAGGAGAAGAGAGAACCTGAAGAAGAAGTTGGTTCGTAATGTTTCTTGGCGTGAGGGGTGAAGCGACGTGGGCGAAGCTTCTTAGGACCGTGGAAATGGAAGTTGTATTTTTCACGCGAGCAAGAGTGGAGGTGTTCAAGTTGGCCGTAAAGCCCCCAGATCACGCTTTAAATTATGGATTTTTTAGACAACAGCATGCTCTAACTCTTATTAAAAATAATACGATTAGCTTTTTCATAAAATAAATTATATTAATTTTAATTTTAATTAAAATTATTATAAAAATATATATCATCTTCAATTTTTTAATAAATTAAAATAAAATAAATTTATTTTAATTTTATAAATAATTTTAGATATTAAAATTAAATAAATTTATAAACAAATAGATTAACTCTCAAACTTGTTTGCTAATAATAATATTAAATTTATTAATGAATAAGAGAAAAAACTTTTAAATAGTATTTGAATGTAATTTTAAATTTTTAAGTTTTTTTTTAATATTTGTAATGAGAAAAGAAAATCTAAAATTTTACTATTTTATTATTAGATTTTTTGTTTCTTTATTTTTTTATTAGGATTTGTAGAGAGATAGAGTAAAAGAAAATTATGATTTTACGTTGAAGAAGGGTGATTTGCAAAATGAGAAAGAAAAGAGAAAGATTGATTGAGAGAAAGGGATATTTAAAAAATTAAAAAAAAAACTCCTCCTTAGAGTTTTTTTTTAAGTTTTTTTTTAAAATTTTGTTATTTAAAAAAAATTACTTTTTTTTTCAAATAACTTATCAAAAATCTTGTTTTACCTTAACTTCTACTTTTAAGATATAGATAACTTGAAAAAAAGTTAGACTAAACAAGCACTTAATCTTATTTAAAAATATTATTATATTAATAAAATAATAATATATTTATATTTCAAAAAATAATAATATATTTAAATATATAAAATATTCAAATAAATCTTTATTATTAATTGTTAATTTATTTAAAATATCATTTATTATTTTATATTGTGTGACGTTGACGTACCATGCTAATATATTACAATTGATGATAATACGATATACTAGCATATCATAATTGATGATAATGTGATATACTAACATATCATAATTGATGATAACGTGACATGTTAATTTAATATGATAACATGACCATATAGTATTTTTCACCCTTCATATTAATATCATGTGAATATAAAATGATAAGTGGCATTTTGATTAATAACAGTTAGTCAACATTATTATAAAGGCTTATTTGATTCAAAATAAAAATACAAAAACTTGATTAAACACAATAAAAGAATAAGAACTTATTTGAATTTTCTTAAATATTTTAGAGGTATATTTGAGTATTATATCTTTATAATTATATATTTGAAATTTATAATAACAAATAACACCTTGAACACCTTACTAATATAAATGGTAGTGTTGTAGGATGCGTGGATAATTAATTCAAGTGTTTTGTTCAAGACAATTTAAACCACTCTTTACAAGTCTTATAAGTTGCATTAGCATCAACCTAAACATTGGTAAGCACATGAATATTTGGCTTATTAGTTGATGTATGATTTACCTTTCAAAAAACGTAAAATTCAAATCCCATCTCTTCAAATATATATATAAAAAAAACCCTAAATAATAGCAACCAACTATCAAGTTAAAACAGAATATCTTGTATCAATCTAAACATTAATAATCACAACATTTTTTTATCTACAAGTGCATAATTTTAGCTGTAGTTATTGTAATGCAACTAAATTCTTCAAATAACATTTAATACATTTGTCATTTAACTTCACTATTTAAAGTGTAATCAATTAAAACATATTTATGAGGGATTACAACAGATTTGTCAAAAGGCCTTTGTCTTTATAAGTAGGCAATTTTTTCTTGAAAAATATTTTACCAATCAGCTCTCACTCTTGCTCAAAATAAATTATCTTCTCTTACTTCATTTCTCATCAAATTTTTTAGATTATTTTACTTTCAAAAATTTTTCAGCGATATGTAATCTCTTCCCTTTTTTTTTTTCTCGATACTTCAATTCTCTTTTTCTCTCTTTGATCATTTTTCGGTTTGGTTGTTAAGAAAATGCTTGGTTGGCATGGATCTAAAGAAATCTCAAGAGATTTTCTCCAATTTTTGTATTTTATATTTTTTTCTTTGTTTTTTTTTCAAATTTATATGAAATTTGAATTTTGGAGAGTTTAAACAAATGTTGAAGGGTTTTTATTGTGCAAGTTTCAGTAGTTTGTATAATCCCTAATTCAAGTACTCTCTCTTTGTCTTCTCATTTTCATTTTATTTTGAGTACGATTTATGTAGTTCAAATTTAGATTAGGGCTGCTTATAACATTAATTCGGAATTTTATAAAGTTCTAGTTTATATATTTCTCGTTCAACTGTGTTTATGTCAAAGATACTTTGGGTGTCTCTTTTTTAATGAAGTATGAGTTTAATATGACTAATTAAAAGAAAGGTAAAATCTTTTTTTTTTTTGGTTTCTTTATGGTTCATTTTTGTTGATTGAGAAAATGTATAGTTAAGATTAAGGATGACTAAAGTAGTGTTTTGACTTTGTTTTGATGTATTATTAGTGCATAAATTCTACATAGAGTTGATGAATTATACGTGAAGAGTAGATTTAAATGTATAAAAATCCTTGAAAGTAAATACTAATATGTTTTTAACGAAAAATGTTTAAATGTATGGACATTTACTAACCTGTATAATGTGTAATCGATAAATCATTTTTTATTTTAAAATGTTTTAGAGTAAAAGCTAAAACTAGTAAATACATTTTCTTTAAGTTTCTCAAGAATTAAAGCTCAATTTAATAGAATTTCTTGATTTTTCTTGCATCTTTGATTATCATGTACATGGCAGATTTCCAATGTTTTATGCTTTGTAATAAATTTACATACTTTACGATTTGGCAATGAGATGGCTTATAACTTTATTTGTTTTAAGACTTATCTTTGTTCTAAATATTAAGCATGAGACAGTGCACATGGATTCTGAAAGTTATGTATATATATATATATATATATATATATATATATATATATATATATATCCATAAAAATGCATCCTATGACATTATAATCTGTTATCTAAATTTTGTTTGTTATTTTTAAGGCTTGCTTGGGTTGAGTAAACCCTTTCCATTAGACCCTTGCATTGGTTAAGTCATTGAAATCGAGATGTGACAACTAGACCTAAGCAAGCCTTATAAACAAACTGACATGAGCATACCACATGTTGTTTTAATATGGAAAATCATTAAATAGTTTCGTATGTATGTAACCACATATATAAACATATAAGTCATACCATAGGTAAATAATCTCATAATATTCCAACTATCAAATAAACATGCCTAACCTTGATGTATCAATGCACATCTCGTGTGCTCAATATATATATAGCATACCACATATTGTTCTAATATGGAAAATCATTCAACATTTTCATATGCACGTAACCACCTATATGAACATATAAGTCATACCATAGGTAAATATTCTCATAATATTCCAATTATCAAATAAACAAACCTAACCTTGATATTTCAATGCATGTGTGCTCAATATATATATACATACATACATACATACATATATATATATAGAGTATAATCTCTATAAATTAATACTTGATAAATTAATAATTTTAATTAAATAATATTTTTAGCTTATCCCTACTTGAGACCAACGTGTTAATTAATAATTTATTAAATTTATAAGATAATATATTTTTAAAAAAACACATAGGTCCCACTTGATATATAAATTAATAATCTCCTTATATATCAAAATTATATATATGACTCAATTATAAGGTTTTTGTAAAATATGTCTCCAATATTACTTATTTTCTCTTGAAATTGATGTCTCCTTAGACCTCATATCTGATTGTTCTTAGTGAATTAAAAAGCTCTGATGCAATGTTTTCGTATTACAAGAGAAAATTATGCAATGTAATTATTCCTTTGAACGCATCTTTACGCAAGATAAGCTATAATACAAAACTATTACCTTTGACTTCATTTTCTTTGTTATTTCCCATGACATATTTAACAAATGGATAAATCCATGCTTCTATTTAAAGAGACTAATTACATTCATGAACTTGTTTTGGTTAAACAAGTACATAAAATAATGATAATTCATAATTTGGTAATTAGGTAATATTCGTATAATCTCAATAAACAATACATATATTAAGTTCAATGTTTTGAAAAGAAAATAAAAAATATCTTGATAAATTAACTTTTTATTAATTGATGTATAAATTAATAAATTATTAATTTATTGATTAAATAATATCTCGATTAATTAGTAAGTTTTCATTGTCTTAAAACTATTAATTTGTAGAGATTTAACAGTGTGTATATATATATATATATATATATTCTAATACAAAGTTCATGACTCGATGTATACCAACACCATTAATACAAAATAAATTACTTGACACAAACAGTGGAGTGGACCCAAGATTAGCTAACAACGCCTAACAAAAGCCTTTAGTAGACACCTATTGAGATATGGTTGGCGAGTCCTCTAAGGACAATAAGTCAACCACTTTATTAATATGAAAACACAACATGAATTTGAAAGATGAGTATAAAACTCAATGATTAGATATGTGGAAGGGAGACAAGCGAAACGCATGTCAGTTAAAATTTCACTACGCAAGTATACATATAAAATAAATAGTATATTAGCAAGCAGAGTGTCGATCCCACAGAAAATTGATCTAAAATTTTACTAAGTATTAAAATTAGAACAAATTAATCTTATTCAAACACTCAAAATTAATTGATTAACTAAAACTAATTAACTAAAATTTAAACTAATAGGAAAAATCAAAATAATAATAACTTGAGTAAATATCAAATCAAACAAGCCTAGGATTACAATTTCCCTCACACTTCATCTAAATCTTACCTCCCTTCCTTAACTTATTTCAATGGGTTGAATTGCTAACCTAGAGTCCTAAATTATTTATAAGGGTCTCCCGACTCATCTTATAAAAATATTTATTTTAACCAAAATACTATATCCCTATGTGAATTGAAATTTCAATAGATTCATTAAATTCAGGCTCTAATCTGGCTACATATGACCTATAGGTATATCTCTATCCTAT